GAGTCTTCATATCCTTCCTCATATTCTTCTGTACTAAAGCAGGATATAATTCAGAATAAACCATTAGGATCGAGTCAAACTGATCCACGTGTTGTTTACTTTTGTTACAAGATCCTCTATGTTTCTATCGTAAAATAGAATTAGCAGCTTGTTCCTTCTCCTTGGGTAAACCTTCCACAAGCTTATTAGAGTTGTTAGATGCACTAATGGGAGTCACAAGAATGGGCATTGAAATGATTTCAAAAATCACGATCCTTTGAAGCAGAGTCTGAGAAATATGAGGAGAAGGTTGATTTTGAGTAGGAACTAGAGTTTCAACTAAAGCATGGAGTCTTTCCACACCAGCCCTCAAAGTAGTCACCTCCTTACGAAGTTCATGGTTTTCTTGCTCAATGTTCTTCATTTTATTTCTTTAACTGGCCCGAGTATCGTACTGATGAATTAGCTTGCCTCCTATTTGAGGGAAAAAGCAAGAGTGAGAACCTGAGATGCAAAGAATGCAATGCTAATGACGAATGCAAATGCGCAAATGCAGATGGGTTTTAAGGAACTCAAAGGTTATATTTATAAACACCACGAAGTGGACAATACTTTTGATAACTAAAAATATCATTTCATTGAAAATAGGGTATAATGTCATAATCCAATGGTAAAACCTATGATGGTTGTAAACAAAAGCTTTGAATTCCATGAAACTTTTATGAACATGATGTATGCTCAAACACAGGTATACATAGATCCACATATACACATATACATTCAAACAGGCAAAGACTTAGGTTTGAAAGTCAACGAGCCTGGAGTAATGGTCTACCCATCCCAAATGGCGTGGAATAAGGGTTCAATGTACCTGCAGAATAAGGGTTCTAAAAGTTCCCAAAGTCATCAGTCCATCTTTTGGATATTATCAACTTCCCAAATACTTGGTAGTTAATATTATTCTCAAGAGAACCTCTTTTGAGTGTAGCATCGCGTATAAACTATTTTGGGACTACTCCCTCATAGTCATCACACTACGCCATAAGAAAGGCCAAGTTAAGTTAAGGGTAACTAAAGGTTCCAAGTATCACAGGCTCCTAGGTCAAAAATAGTAAGCGCTTTCACGAATACTCGTTCAACAGTACTTTCTCAAGAGGGCCTCAATTGAGTGGTGATTTCTTAAATAAGCTTGGTCGGAAATCAACTCCCTATAAGCCTCCTTGAATATATCACCTTCCTATCATAAGTACACTCAAGTATGGGTGTAGGACTTATCTCACCACACGAAAGTAACAACCCAAAGCAGAAACATTATATACCGATAAGTAGATAGATAGATATACAACAAAAACAAATAAACAAGTTAGGGGGAACCCTCAAGATATACTGAGATTAAGTCCCCAATGAAGTCACCATTTCTGTCGCGGTGAGAATTGGATATCAAGCTATTAATTAACTTGAATCACAAATCATTATTCACCACCGGTCTTTAATTTTTCCAAGGGAAGGGAAAAATATCAAAATAACCCATGAGTATGCAATGCAATGCAAAGCTAGAGAATCTAAGGTTCAGGGATTAGTTATACCTAGGGAAGGTTCTAGCATCCTAAGTATCTGTAGTACTCTACAGGAACCTCGTGTTTTATTGTGTTAATTGTTAATCTGTTTGCTAAAGGGTGAAAAAGTAAAAGGAGTCCTAAGGTATTATTCCTAAGTATGCTCGCCAAGACATTGCATCCCGTGCCTACGTATCCAGACGAGAATGGAATCAGAGCATTCGTAGTTCCCCTCATGGGATAAATAAAGTAAAAGGAAAAAGTTGCTTTTTAGGACAAGAGACAAGTCGTCATCTTTGGGAGAATACTTGACTTTAACCACCACAAGCGTATGAAAGACGGTCTTTGCGTCGCATTGAGAGAAAGGCCCCAACTCAGATTTAATTGACGAGTATGCCATATACCTCTCTCAAGCGAAAAAGGTTATACATCTTTCTCGATTATGTTATGGGGTAGGAGAATTATATCTCGACTACATAGATGAATCATGTCTAATTCTCTTGTGAGAATGGGATTTAATCTATAAGTTGTCTAAGTTAACATCCTAAGAGAACTAACTTAATTTTATGAATCTAAAATAAGATTAAAGAGAAATTTTAACCTAATGTTATCATGCAATAGAGGTCAAAGCCTAAAGCCTATATTGATTCAATTTATTGAAGATAAGGTCACTACTAGAAAAAAGACTTTTGAGAAAATGTTTTTACATCGGGTATTTACTAGAAGCGATGTAAAATGTGAAATTATAAACACGGTGGCAGTATCGTAAATATTAAAAAAAATTATTAGATCATTTACATCGGGCCATTAAAATAACCGATGTAAAAAATTGAAAAATATTATTTAAAGGTTTTTTAAATCGTTTATAACTGCAACTGATTTAAAAATAATATTAAAAAAATTGAAAAAAATTATTTAAAGGTTTTTTAAATCGGTTATAACTACAACCGATTTAAAAAGTAATATTAAAAAAATTAAAAAAAAATTATATAAAGGTTTTTTAAATCGGTTTTTAGTGACCAACCGTTTTAAATAGTCCCCAAAAGAAAAAACAAAAAACTTGGCTTTTACATCGGTTGGATATCCACCGATTTAAAATCAATATTAAAAAAAATTAAAAAAAATTATATAAAGGTTTTTAAATCGGTTTATAGGGACTAATCGATTTAAAAAGTCCCCAAAAGAAAAAACAAAAAAAGGCTTTTACATTGGCTGGGATATCCACCGATTTAAAAAGTGATTTAAAAGGGTTTATTAAATTGGGTTGTAATTCCACCGATTTAAAAAGTAGTTTAGATATTTAAAACAAAATCTGCACGCACAGTTCATTTCATATTTTCTTCCTCTCTCCCACCCACGACGAATAAACAACCCACGACGATTCCTTTTCGTCTCACTCTCGTCATCCCCGTTGCCGTCGCCATCGCCTTTCCTCCCTCCCCTCCGTGCTCGCGCCGTCATCGTCAACGTCATCTCTTCCTCCTTGCTCGCCGTTGCTCCTTCTACCGTACTCGTCGTCTCCCCTCCGATCTCCGCCGTATCCGGTCATCTCCTTCAGGTTTTTTTCCTTTTCTTTTTTTATTTATTTATCTTTTCATTTTAATTTGGTTCCTGTGTGATTCAAATTTGTTTGAAGATTTTTCATGGGGTTTTCAGGTTTATACGAAAATCTGTTTTTTTTTCATGCATGTTTTTTTAAGAATATATCCGTCTTTATAAAAATTTGGCTTTAGACATAAATTTTCATCTCTCGGATCTCTAAGATGATTTATAGGTTACTGTTTGAAATGCAATTTAGACAGAAATAAGTAAACAAATGACAGTGAGAGCAATGAAGAGAAAGCTAAAATTGAAGAGAAAAGTAGAGAAAAAATGAACATAAATAGGTTACTGTTATGTGATAGTAGAACAATTTAGTTCCAAAAATTTATATATTTAAGAAATAGTTATCAATTTATTAGTTAAGTTTATAAAATTGAAATTGAAATTGAAGAAATAGTTATTAATTTTTTAGTTGAAAATAGTGATAAGGTGCATCTTGGAGCTGATATTACTGTTTTGGCGCTTCACACACCTTGGTATGGTAGTTTAACTTGTCAATTTAGATTATGTTTGGCATCCCTTTTTTTTTGGATCCAAAACTGGAGGATTTGTAATAAACTGAGACATAGTTGTTTGCCAATGGTTTTGCTTCATTCTAAATGACATAACAAAATAGTGCAATCTCCATAACAAAAAAATATTATATATATATATATATATATATATATATATATATATATATATATATATATATATATATATATATATATATATATATATATATATATATATATATATATATATATATATATATATATATATATATATATATATATATATATATATATATATATATATATATATATATATATATATATATATATATATATATATATATATTTTATGAATTTGAATTGTAAAATAGAGATTAACAAAATATATCCGTCTTTATAAAAAGAAACTATAATTTGATAAAATAGAAATATTTATTACCAAAAATAGGATGAGTCATTCTCTTGTTAGGAAGAATCACGATAGTCAATAAATATTGATTTATAACCATTTAATTAAAATAGTATAATAGGTTAAAAATATGAGCAATTTTTAGTTTAATATAATGCTTCCACACACACACGATGACATAGAAAATCATTATATATTAAATCATTATACATTAATTTTACACTTTAAAAATATAATGGTTGTATCATTATACATTAAATCATTATACATTGATTTTACATTAAATCATTATACCAGTAGTAATTTATGTAAAAGTTGCAAGTAATTAGTGGTGTCTCATGGAATAAAAATTGATTTTTCATTTCTCGCAGGATTTGTGTCCCTCTTTTTCTCTTAACCGCGAGTCATCCGGCCGCCACGTAATTGTAGGTTCTGTTTTCATTCTTTATAACTTCACAATTCTTCTTTTATGCCACGTGTTCACACGTAGAGACTTTTTGTTCTCTCTAATGTCCAAATGAGGGACTATTATAGGCGTTCCAATGATTTAACTCTATATGCATTAATAATTTCAGAACATAGGTATGAATCGTAGTTGGATGAGAGCCAATCAATTAAGTTTCAAGTACGAACAAGGAGTGATGGAATTTCTAGAGCTTGCTGAAAGTAATGCTAAAAAAATCTTGCTCCTCCTAAGAGTGATGCTGAAAAAAAGTCTTCATCTTCTTTTTCTCTGTCCATGTGTTCGTTGTGCAAATCACGAACTAAAACTCAATAAGAAAGAAATCATGGATCATCTAATTTGTCATGGGATTTGTCAAAGTTATACACAATGGATATGGCACGGTGAGGTAGTAGCAAAGTCAAATGTGTCCCAAAGAGATAATGTTAGTGCAGAAATGGATGATCGTCTGGAAGACATGATGCGTGATATCGGATAAGATTTGTTTAAGAAGGCGCATGTGTATGATACTTTATGCAGCAAATGTGGCTAAAAATGTATACCCACATGTATTATCTCATGGAGGATATTGTTTGCTTGAGGAGAAAATGATAAATGAAAGGAGATCATCGAGAGATGATTCTACCTTAGATGATACTGGTAGCCTATCTCCACCGTCACGCCATGAGTTATGGAAGAGAGCACGACAAAAGAAAGGGGGAGAATACACATCAAAGGCTACACAAGTTGTTGCTGAGAAAATTGTAAGTAAAAAATATGGTTTTTTCATTTTGCAGGATTCTCTAGTTATAGTTGTGATTGATAAAAAAATATGGTTTTTTCATTTTGTAGGATTCTCTAGTTGAAGAAGCTGAAAAGGGTGGCTTTGTTTCGGATGGACGTAATGATATCTTAACAGCAGCCACTGGAACATCTGACCATGGAGGCCGTGTTCGTGGTGTTGGAAAACACCATAAACAAAACACTTACTTTGGCAGATCATCTTCACGTCAACGACAATATGATATAAGAGAACAATTTGCACAGTTTTCATCTGAATTAGAAGCAAAGCTTAGAGCTAATTTTGATCAAAAGTTGGCTGAAGAGCGTAAGGCGATGGAACAATCTTTCATGGATACACTTAGGTCTATGGGTCTCTCACAACAAATTACAGAAAATAATAATAAATGCATTGTACAATGGGAAGTTGTTGATGGAAGCGGAAAAGGAAGTTGTTCAGCTGCAAAAGTAAGCACAAAAGAAAGAGAAGGAGAGGACAATGTTGAGAGATTAATGAGAATGGTTCTAAGAATGGGTGATGATCATTTGGAAATAAAATTAAGTCATTGTGCGAGCGCCAGTAATTTTCATATGTCACCTAAGTGTATCAGAGAGCTGCTGGTGGGTTTTAATTGGCTTGATTTGTCTACTCTCCAAGTTTGGTGCACGTAAGTACATTTTCTATTTTTATTAGTGACAATATCTATTAATATGTTATATCTCTTATCACTTTTATTATAATGTTGATTTTAAAATTTTTCAGGTATATTCATCGTTTGTGTATTGATACTTCACAATCTGAAGTATACGGATTTATTGACCCTGCTATGTGTTCGTACGTTGATCATGGGTCGAAAACTCAAGCAAATGTCAAACAATACATACAAGATAAGTTACGTGACGAAAAGAGAGAGTGTGACTTGCTACCATTTGTTCATGGGTAAGTTTGTATGAAATTATGTTTTCTATTTTTTAATTTTGGTAACATATATAATTCAATTTTGGTAACATGAAATTGTTACTTTTGTGTTTACACACACACACGTACAGAGGTCATTGGCAATTAATAGTCATGTGTCCAAATGATAATACGGTGGTCGTCTTTTATTTCCTTCATCATGAACTTAATCAAACCATGACAAAAATTGTTACAAGGTAAGTTTATCTTTTATGTTCACTTCATCCTATATACATAATTTGTTACAAAAGTAATATCATATATTATGTGGCTTTATATGAATTATTTTCTTCTGAATTAGTGCTTTTGGGGTTCATCAAGTGGCAAATGGGAATAGAAAAAAGGCTACATGGCTTCGACCCAATGTAAGTGTGGTGTAAATTATAATTAGATATTTAATTTATCATATAAGTATTCACTAATTATGTCATTCATTTGTAGACAAGGAAACAACCTAACTCTAATGATTGTGGGTATTATGTGATGAAAAATATGTTGGATATTGTCTCTGCCAATATAACCAACTCTTGGATGAAGGTAATAAAAATGACTTTAATTTGTTATTTACTTTACGTTTTGCAACTTAATGTGAATTTTCAAAGAATAACTCTATTATTACTTACGTGTTGTAGGTATTTGATGACCCAACGAACCTATCGCCCGATGATTTGTATGATTTGCAACTCAGTTGGGCAACATGTTTCTTTGAATTATATAAAGGTTAACCTTTTTGTTGTTGTAGTACATTTATGTAGCTTTTTGTTGTTAGCACATTTGTGTATAAAGGTTAACCGACCTTTTTGTTGTTAGTACATTTGTGTATATCCTTTATATTGACACTTTTATAAATCAATTATGTGTATACTAGATATTTGGTGCAATCAAATTAGATTTATGAGAAAAATATGAAAATAACGACCTAAATATGGTCTATGTGATGTTGCAAAACTATGAAAATAGCGACCTAAATGTGGTCTATATATTGTCCACTATGGAAAATAACGACCTAATTATGGTCTGTGTAATGTTAGAAAAATATGAAAAATTAGGCACCAAAAAAGATACAGGGAACGGCTAAAAAATAGGCAAATAATTTATACTCGTAACAGTACTTTTTACATCGGGCGAATGAAAAAACCGATGTAAAAAACTACCTTTTACATCGCTTTAACCACCAAACCGATGTAAAAAGTGTCAGCAATTTTTTCCCTACAGTACTTTTCACATCGGTTGAAACAACAAACCGATGTAAAAGGTCTACCTTTTACATCAGTGTTACCAGAGAACCGATGTAAAAAAGTGTCAGCATGAAATTTTTTTTCCTCCAGTACTTTTTACATCGGTTTTGGCACGCAACCAATGTAAAAAATCCACCTTTTACATCGGTTTTTCCCCACAACCGATGTAAAAACCCCCTTTTATAATTAAAATTTACAGTTATAAATTTTTTTCACATCAGACTTAAATATTTAATCGATGTGATTGATGTATTTCTTACATCGGGCCACATAACCGATGTAATGATTTTGATTTACTACATCGCCTGGTTTTACATCAGACTAAGACCAGATGTAAAAAGTCAATTTCGCCCGATATAAAAAGTCATTTCTGCTAGGGATCGTGAGAAAGAACAATTATCTATGCACACCAAATCTTGAATTCCTATCTTAATCACAATTCACCAGGGAGTGTCCGACCTTTAAACCAAGCAATCAAAGTGCTCGAGAAACTATCAAACAATTAATCACAATCCTCAAATAAAAATCCAAATATAAAGGCCTCATATATTAATTAGAAGTTAATCACCAATAAACTTCAAAAAAAAGACGTTCTAATCTCCTATTAAAACTCCTAATTAGTAAGAACAAACTATTCAACAACGAACTAAAATTCTGATTAAAACACATTATAATTTCAAAATTAGAATCTAATAAAAGACTAATTAATTAAATATAATAATAATTAAAAGTTGAGAAACAAACAATATAGTGTAAGATAAACAAATAAGGGTGTGTTAGAAAGAAAATAAAAAGAAACATGGGCCATGGGACTAGGCCCACACAGACCCACATCAATAACAACAACGTCGCATGTCAAAAAAAAAAGGAAATGGACAAAAGAAGTTTCCCAGTACTCTCCCCTTCTCGCACGCGGTTTGTCTCAATCGGACGAACCCCCAAATTAATCACCAAACAAATATTTTCATAATATTCACACAATACCAATCAAAGTGGAGCGAACAACACAAGCTAAAGAAGAATTCGAGTAATTCGCAAAGAAGAAACAACAACTGAGCAACGCACGAAGGTGAAGAGAACGTATCTGTCAGAGTTCGTCCGACGCGTCTTCGGCGGTAATGGGAATAAGATGAAACATGGGCACTATATAAGTATGACTCAAATGCCCTTCCTCTTTATGCAACAATTTCTTTTGTAAGCGTGTAGTAGTTATTGTTGTCTCTGTTTTTGCAATGTATGCACTCACCCTTTGTAATGCGTGAATAAATTACGCGTGGGAGTGATTCTCTTGTGTGTTCTCTTTATTTTTTCTCATGCATATATATTGGACTATAAAATAGACAAGAATGATAATAATAATTAACACAATATTTTTTTGTTTTTTATAATAATACAAGAATAAAAAGAATTAAAAATCATATTTTTGTATTTTTTTATGATAAGACAAGAATAAAAAGAATTAAAAAACATGTTTTTAAGTTTTTAATGATAAAAAAAAATAAAAAGAATTAAAAATTATGTTTTTTTTTGTTTTTTATAACACAAGACTAAAAAGAATTAAAAATCACGTAGTTGTGTTTTTTTTTATTACAAGACAAGAATAAAAAGAATTAAAAATTATATTTTTGTGTTTTTTAAAAATAAAATATTAACAAACAAATTAAAAATAAAATTAATTAATAAAAATAAGAATTTACATTAAATATCTAATTAAATATAAATGAATTAAATTATTATTTAAATAAAAATGATTTAAAAACAAAATAAAAAGTCTGGCAGAAAAGTGCTCGAAAAAATACAATGAACACACCAAAATAATCAGCGGGAATTAAACGACTTGGATTAATACACCGTTTGTTCAGATTTTGAAATAAATTTTACCCGCTAAAAAGACTTAAACTAACCAAAAACACTTCCAAAAGATGGTCGAAAAATTTAAATGAGCACGCTAGGTTAAAGATCGTAAAATGTAGATTAATATCACTGACGTTTGCAGGTTCGATCTTGAAATTTTTCGTCCATTGATTTTACACACAGTTGATTTTTATTTGATAAATCCGACTGCAATTTCAACATGTTTATTCCAGCTGATAAATTGGATATTATGCATGATAAAATGCGTGATATGCTATACAGACGATGCGAAACGTAAAAACAGAATCTCAGGGTCAAAACTAGGATATGACATAACTTAACTCAAAATGCAAGAGTCGCCACTGCACTTTTATTTTATCTAAAAGGAAAGGAAAAAGAGCGAACAAAACATAAACAAGGTCTAAAACAAGAACAAACAGAGAATGGGTAAGGGGGTTGGTTACGTGTTGGCTCTCATTTTCGACGCCAGCAAAATTAGAGTCATCTCAAGTTAAAGAATTATTTTTAAGCATAAGAAGGCTTCGCCCAGTTTTGATGAAGCCTGAGTCCAAGAGAGGTTGTGAAAACCTCTGGGAAAATTGCTAAGTGTTGGAAGGTCCTTCGACCGTGAGAATGCTGAAAGAAGCACGTTGCAGTTACCACTAAGGCTGGACGGAAATTCCTAATATTTGAATTTCAAAAGAGCAGTTGGCAAACGTAGGAACGGTTAAAGTCAAGAAAAAGCGCCAAAAGACACGTTTTGAAGCAACAACCGTCACTTAGTAGTTATTTTCTAGCATTATAAAGAGGGGTTATTTCCATAGAATAAGGGTGTTCATTTGTCCCGTACAAGTTACTCCAAATTACTCAAAGTACCCGCGTGTAGAGAAACGAGTTCGAGAGAATGGACGTGATGCAACACCATTTTTTTTCATCAGAGCAATTTATGTATCTTTATGATTTACATGTTGTTGTTTATTCCGCAGTTTATCTTGCATGTTCTCCTTTAAACTTTATCTTTCACGTTTAAATGCCTTTTTTCTAAACTTTATCTTTCGTATTTACCTATTCTTCCTTGAAACTTTATTTTTAATCTTTACATTCAGTTGATTTTCTTCTGCATTTTATTTTAACTTGCTATTTAAAAGTCTTTTTAAATTGCTTTCTAGTGTTACTTTCTTGCATTTTTCTAAATATTTGGCTTCGCACTTACTTTCTTGCACTTTTATCAAGTTCAAACCTTTTATATTGTTACCTTTACTTTCGACGTCTTAGACACTTACTTTCTTGCATTTTTATCAAATTCAAGCCTTTACATCATTGTCTTTATTTTCAGAGTCTTTCTTTTACATCTTGCCTTTTACTTTTGACGCTTTAAGAAATGCGCCCTTTACTTTACAGCCTTGTCAATTTTCAAGTTGTTTGCTTTACAAAGTTTTTATAGTCGAACGTGGAGTTCAATTTAGATTTTCTGTTAAACTTAGCACCTGTCCTAGGATTTATATTGTCGATCCTGCAAGTTACTCAATTTCATCCAAAGTTGATAGACCAGAGGTTGTTTACCAAATTTCACAGTAAACATTACGCGATGGGAAGGTGTTAGCACCCAAAATATTTATAAATAAATACGTGTCCCTGACCAATACTCGTACGAAAGTTATAAAATGATGTTTGTAACGTAAATATATTCATCTTAGTTTTGGAAGTGGAACGTAATAGGTAAGATGTCCAATTATGTTTGTAATTTTCATGACTTCTACATTACTCCATTTTTTTATGACATGTTATTAATAAGAGGTAAAATAAATCATATAAAATCAAATATAATTTTAATAAGAAAAGCATAACATAGAAAACAATGTCAACTTAATATTATTCAAATGATTTGACAATTACAACGACATAATGGACACGAGAAAGCCAATTGATTAATGTTACAGTTTTTGAACCACCGAAAAATGCAATCTTTATGAAAAATATGCGAGCACTTTGTCTTGACAAGTTTTGGCTTAAATTCATTTGAGAGCTCTTCCAAACAAATTGAACACTGTTGTGCAGCATAATCAGAAATGTGAGATGTTGTAACTTCTGCTAGTCGATCCACAACAAGTTGAGATGCCGCGCACACATGTGGATGACATTCTTGAGCCATAACATTATTCACTTGAATCGGCCATGTCGTCAAACGAAGCACCACATGCATCTCCGATAGATTGTGACATTTGAGCATTTGCCTAACACCATCACCAATGGTATCTAATATAGGATGTGGAATAGGCAGACGAGAAAAATAGGGGTATAAGGAGTGATTACTGTTGCATAAGTTGTAACTAGAAATCCAAAAGTTTTGATTGACCGTGGTTGTAAAATCATCAATTGAATTTGTAACATTAATTTGAGAAGGCCAATTTACATTGATCAAATGAAAATGAATGTAAATATCACCGTTTGAAGGATAATCATGTGGAGCTGTAGAAAACATATTTAGAGAAAAGTTGTGTTCCATGGATGAAGCTTGAGAGAACAAAATCTTAGTATTTGTGGAATTAGTTTAGTTGCTAAAACAATGTATGTTATTTATATAGTCAAAGTAAAAGCCTTGAAAATTGATTATTTAATGATAAGATCCAATC